GATCAAGCTTTCAGTGTCACGGCAGAGACCCCGGTCTTCAGGGAGCTCCCAGTTTGGGAGACCGTCTTCCCAGGACCAGAAAAATGAATAACAAAATTGCACAGGCATTTGGGACTGTTGGGTTTCCAACTGGTATGGCTGCTGGTCTAGAAACCTCCGAGGTGAGCGGGTTTAGTTAGTCAAGTCTTCCAGGGAGAGAAATCCTCCTTTTCTCTCCGACACGGGTGTCCCGCCCTTCCTCAGAGAGTGTGGCATTACTGGGCACTCTGATGGAGCCTGGGACCCCTCTGGGCCCCTTCCTCCACCGAGAGGGAGAAAGAGAGGAGCGGGAGAGAGTGCTCTTCGGTTCTGCCCATGCCCATCCCTGGCCTTCCGGGGGCTGGGCATCTGCAGGCTTTGGCACCACGAAGATCTGGGGTCCAATAGGGAAGCCTTCCACCTTTGGGCAGCCACCTCGAGTCCTCAGTCCCCACTGCTCCCATTCTTTCTCCTGACTGCCAGATGTTCCCAGAGGGGCTGGTCCACGCTGGCACGGAGTGGGCCCTCCCCATCTAGGCCTCCACCCACTCCCAGCTCTTAATTTATTATTAACTCTGCAACTGACTCTGGAATTATGGGAGACCGTGTTGTTTCTTTCCTCAGCGTCTCTTATGGTCCCCAAGGGGAGGCGAACTGAGAGCGCCAGATACACAAATACGCTGTGAAAACCCTGTGGGTTTTTGGTTCTAGCAGGGGGAAGGAAATTAGCTGTCATAAGCCACGGTTGCCTCACTGGAAAGCCTGCAGCGCAGACCCTCGGAGGGCTCCTGGCCCCCTTGCTCTGCTCTGCCCCCTTCCTGGCACCTGGCTGGCGACCTCTCTCTTCAGGTCCCCTTGCAGGACAGTGGGCTCCTCCCACTCATTCCTGTGACATCCGGGATGGGGGTCATCGCTATCCCAGCCTGTGAGGAGGAGGAGGGGAGGCTGCAGGCACACAAAGAAGCGGCCCCTGGCCCCCTCCCCGAGCCATTAGCTTGAATGGTGGTAGGAGAGGCAGGTGGGAGTCGATTTTCATTCTAGAATTACTGGAAGGGAGAGGGTTATTTGGAAGTTTCTGAGAGGTGAAAGGGATTCATTGGCCCTCAGATAAAAGGATCAGTAGGCATCTGGCCTTTCCTTTTTCCTCTCCTGAGGAGAGCCAAGGGCTAAAACCCTTAAGTGACTACTCAGCAGCAGCAGCTGCACTTAGGCAGAAAATAGCCCTAGGCTGTGACTGGGGCAGTGGAGGGAGCTGGTTCTAGCCTTTATCTGGCTAACGTGATATGGCTTTGGGCTTCCTCTCTGGCTGCTAGTGCAAAAAACATGACTGAGTCACGTGGCGGTGTTATATATTAAACGGTCATTGAATTGAGTAAGTTAGATTTGCCTGTGATTTGCTGTGTGACCTCTGGCAAGTCACCTAACCTCTCTGGGCTTCAGGTGTTTTATACGTAAAAAGAGGGAGAGGAGAGATGAGTGTGCCATTTCTGGGACTCAGGAGTAATCATGCTGGGACACGGTGTTTTATAACCATGACCCAAACGCACTTTCTGTCATGTCCACCGGCCAAAATGATGTGCTGTCTTCTACCGGCCTCGCCCACAGATAATGCTTTTACAGGAGGGCTTTATACCCAATGGCTTAGTCATGATCTTTCACTACTAGTATTTATCTTTGTGATTTAAAACCTTTGCAATAAAATGGATTCCTACCAATATTACTGTATCTTCTTACTTCTTTAAACTTTCCTAAGCTTTTTCCCTGAGAGAGCAGCAGGATGTGCTAGAGAAGGCCATGTGCTCAGGAGCCTGGCTGCCTGGATTTGGATCCTGGCTCTGCCACTTACCAGCTGTGTGATCTTGAGCATGTTTCTTTGCCTCTCTGTGCCTCAGTTTCCTCATATAAAGTGGGGAAAATAATACACCACAGGGCTGTTGTGACCTGAGGGGCTTAAAACATTGCCTGGTGCATGGCAAGTGTGCACTCGCTACGCGTTGAGCGTATGACCGTTGACAATGACTGCAGTAACAGGACGCCTTTGAAGCCTTCTTGGGAGATGTGGCCTCTTTGTTTTCGTCGTGTTGGGTCCTGAATCTTTGCTAGACTGATCAATTAGAGACATATAATTTCTGAAATCCTGAGGAGCCCCCGACAGGATGCTTCGCAAGGGACTTCCAGCTGGAGTGCTGGGGTGGGGGGGGTGTGTGTGGTTAATAGAATATTCCAGTTAACTGAGGGGAGCCCATTCCTTTTAATATTCTCCTTATAGTTGAACATGTATTTGAAATGCACAAATCCTGTTCCTTGCTTTAGTCAGAAGAGTTATTAATATTCCCTTTTGAGGAGGCAGAGAGGTGTTATCAGCGAGAGCCCTGGGTGGCTGTCGGGAGGCTGGCGAGTCTGTCCCGCCTCCTCCCCGGCTTCTGCATCTGTGGAGTGGGGGCGATGCTACTTAGAGGGCCGGGGCTTTCCCTCCTCGCGAGGAGATGCCGGGTGGGACGACGGCTCCAAGAGAGCTTCGTAAACTGTAAAGCGCCGGGCACCCGAAAGCGCACATCATCCTCACCTGGAGATTGGGAGCCCATTTTCACAAGAAGTCACCTCATCTAAGGCCCCTGGAGAGGAGGCCCAGGAGAGGGCCCGATGGTGCTGAGGCTGGGACTTCACCCCAAGGACTGGAATGTTGTTTTGTTCCTTCTTTGTGTTCTTTTCTGATCTTGTTTTATCCTAAAAGCTAAAACAGAAGTTCAGTTAATGGACAGCCCCATGAATTCAGACTTGGGGGCTGGATGTGCGCGTATAAAACACGCAGCACGTGTATGTGGCCCGCCGTGGGGCCCCACCTCACCGGCGCCGTCGCAACGACCCTCTCGGCTCCCAGAGTTCACGCTCACGTCCGGTCCGCGCCCCCGCTTGCAGAGCAGTCCTTCGTCCTCCTGGCACGTGCCGGTGGAGAGACGACGGGGAGACACGGCCGTG